GTGGAGGGGTGGGGGTGGGGCCAGCAAGTCCACAGGGTGATTCAACAGGTAAAGACCGCGACAGGAAGCTCTACCTGTTGATTTCTGGCCCAGCGCTGTTGTTGAAAAACAAGGCGACCGCAGAGTCGCTGCTGGGTGTTGAAAGACGCGTCAGCACTCGGGAGGAAGTGCGCGTGTGGAAGGATCATCGGTGTGAAACGCTGGTCTCGGTTGTTTACAAACAAGGGCTCCGCTTTTGCTAAGAGGCTGCCCCCAGCCTTAAAGGCCGCCGGCCGGGCATCTCCTTCTCACCGCCCTCCCCGCTTCGTTCAAGGAGGTCGGGGGAGGGGGGCTCCTCGCTTCCCAAACCTGCGAGATCCGTTTTCGATCCAGAGAGGTCAGTGGGTGAGGTTTCCAGGGCTGGCCCGGGTGGGGCCCATTTCTTTGCAATATCCCCAGAGGTCCTTTGCCAAGGGAGGTGGCTGGCAGAACAGAAAGCGGGAAGAGTTCGTTAAAGCATGTAACCTTTAAAACATCGAAAACTGAAGATGATGATGAAGAAAACACACCCCAGGCTCTGCAAGATGTTGAGTTAGAAGCAGCCCTTGGTGGCGACGAAGGGGCCCCTTTTCTGGGGGGGGGGGGGGGGGCTCAAGGCCTACCAAAGCCACAGGAAAGAGTTTGCTCTCTGCCTCCTCTGGACCATCAAGGAAGAGCCTTTTGCTCTTGAACGTCCAGGAGCTCCATGAAGGACAAAAATTTGGCAACCTTAAATGACCTGGACCATCCAGGAAATGTGAGGGCAGAACGAGAGGTGGAAGTCTTGCACAAGGACACCTCCTGGGAAATTTACCTGATAAACATGATCTATCTGAGTTGCCAGGATGACTCAAGCACAACCAAGCATTTCCTCGCTTATCAGAGACCAGCCCTGCCATCCGAGATGAATCCATCCTGCCTTTGAAAAGTAGGAGCGACCGAGCTGGAAGGCAGCTGCAAAACGTCCCTACCTAGCTGTCCAGTGGAGCTCAACTATCCTGTCCTGGGGGTGGGGAGGGGGGGAGGCCCCCTCTACGTGGGGCAGCTGCCCCCACTCTGCCCTGGTCCTCCTGTTCCGTTCCTCCTGTTAAACCCATCCATTGAAGATGTTCCGGGCCAGACTCTAAAAGGCTGGGAAATCTTCGCTTGGAAACTGAGGACTCCCCTGCCCCCCCCCCCCAGGCTGCTCAGCAGGGCCTGCAAACAAAAACCAAAGCAGGCCCTCTGGCAAGACCGGAGAGAAGTTCCTTTTTTGGACCAAAACTAAAAAACTAAAAAGGAACTTTCTTCCTTTGCACCTGGCCTAGGATGTGGGGGTGCAGCCTGTCTCTTCCTCCCTCCCTCTCCCCTCATGGATCCCCCCTCCCCTCCCCTTGGCATCACTGGGAAACCGCAGCGCCTGGAGGTTGGCAACGAGGCTCGTCTCCAGGGAGATGGATGGGTGTGTGTGTGTGTGTGTGTCTATCCAGGCCTGCTTCGTGTCACGCTTGGGAACCTCTGTGCTGCCCATCAGCCCTCGCTGCCCGGCTCTTGTGATGCCCTTGTGGGCCAGGATGGCAGGGAAATGGCCCCAGAAGGCCAGAAGACTCGGGCTTCGTGAGAAAAGGGAAGGCTTGTTGAGATTTCCGGCCAAACAGGTGACCTCGGGGTGGGGTGGGAGGAACATTCAGCCCTTATGTTCTTCTTGGGAAGGGAAGGAAGGGGCCCACGTGTGGCCTGCATCCATCGTTAGAAGCGGCAGGCTGCCCAGAGAGCACTTTAAGCACTGTGGGGGGCAAAAGAAGCAGCAGGCTTTGCTTTTTCCTTTGCTGCAAAAGATAAAAATAAAAATAAAAAAAGGAAATGGTTACACAGATTGCTTTCTTAGGACATGGCCTATTGCATCATCCTGTGAAGCACAGAAGTAAGTTGCATTTATCTTTCTTTATCTCTGAGTTACGCTGCCGAGCAGAGTTCATGGTGTGTGGGTGCTGTCACTGTGCCTCCCCCCCCAGCCCCAAAGCATGCCTTGAGAGCCCAGCCATCATATCATGGTCTCTATCATGAGAAGAACTGTATGGTTAAATAGGAGTGACCAGGTGGGGGTTTTCCCTCCTCCCTGTCCCTTTCCTGTTGCCTCCTTAGACTGAAAAA